CGGGAGTGGACACCCATCTGTGTGTCCATAATATGATTGACCGGAATGGAGGCAAAGATCCTCTGCTTGAATCGGGGGTTTGTTTCAGCTGCCCTGACCTGCAGCCCCTCAGCTCCTGCCAAATTCCTTGGAGCTGCTTATTAACACACTGACAACTCTGCTCCGGAGTCACAGCACGCTGAGGCAGAAGGCAGAGGGGTTGGACAGTGTGGCCTAAATATCCCTGTTTACAAAAAGTCTGACAAAACACAAGCCCTTGGCTTTATCTTTCCCATTTGGAAATAGCCACAGAGCAAATATACTTAAGGCACGAAGGGAGGGGGATTTATATTGACTTTAGAAAAAGCTGTTCTTTAAAAACAGGAAAAAAAAGCTCATCCTCGAGCTGTGCAGACTGGCTGCTTGAACCTAAAGTCTTGCACAGAGGCTTAAAGCCTGCCTGCTAATCTGTAGCAGTTCTGTGTGAACAAGTCATGCAGTTAACTGCTCTCTGTTAATTTTTTAATGCAGAATAAACAGGTCAAGAAATGATTAGCATGAGAATAAGTTGAGCTTAATCAGGAGAATCAGAAAAGATGAGAGGGAAGAGGCAAATTGGAGTTATCAGTTAACCACACAGAGTGGCTCTGCCTCCACGAGCTCATGTTCCCTCTCGTTTTCCATCCTGTCTGAAGCTGCCTTTTTTTTCCCCTTCCCTAATTTAAATGATCAGCTAAAATTGCTGGTATAAGCACAATGGAAGCCCTTGTTTCTCCTTCTCATTTTCTATCTGCAATGGCTGCCCAAATGAATTGCAGGTGATAAGGCTCCTACCTGGTTATTCACGATGGTCCTTCTCATTCCATGTGGAGAAAGGGAGCTGCTGACGTTAAGGTTGAAACATGCAAAATCCACTTTGTGCAAGTACGAGCTTTCTGCTCCGGTGCAAAAGTTTCTGCGCAATCCTGGCAGATCCAGAGACCGAGCGGAGGCAACTGTGGGCAAGGGGAAGAGCAGCCCTCGGGACTGCTTGGAGTGGAGTTTGGTCAGTGGTCGGAGATCTATATTCTCAGATAGGCAGGACTTTGTCCACAAACTGGAATTTGAAATTTCAAAGGGGAAAAAAAAAAAAGGCAGAAGGGACCTGTGCGTGTGTGGAGATGACTACACTGGCGATGTTCCCCTGGGACTTTTGTTCTTTGTCTTGTAACTCGGCTTCATGCTTCCCCAACAGCTTGCTTGGTGTCGTGGTCTGGCTGAAACCCGGACACTTGGCCAAACAGTGGTGGGCTGAGCAGGGGCCCCAACCTTGCTTGGGGCTTTCCCCGCTCTGGAGAGGTTTCGGAGCCGAGCCCATCTCTGCTTCACTTGCATGCCAAGGAAAAGCTACTCCAGCCCCACAGTGGCCTCGAAGCTGCAAGTGACATGGTAGGAGTGATGTGGAGTCAGGGCTGCAAGGGGCAGCAGTGGCATCGCTGATGTAAGGCAAGGTTGCTCCTGCTGGCTCTGGGCACTGGCATTTCTGCCAGAGATTTCTTGAGAGTGCAGAGCTGTAAGAGGAAAGAGACAAAGAACCCGAGGGCCCAAGGCTCCCGGCTGCAGCCTGACCACTGCTCATGCTTAGAAAGTCCGCAGGTGAACCCAAACTAGGGGTTTTGGCTGATACACTGCAGGGCAGGGCTGCTGTCTCATGGCAGGCTGGAGAAATGGGCCAGCAGGAACTGCAGCAGCATAACCCACACAGAGGCAAGAAGATGGGGCCAGGCTCCTCAAAGGGTGCATGGAGGGAGATCAACAGGCATAAAAATTGGAGAGGTTCAGACAGTGTCTAAGGAGAAACTTACTCACCACGAGGACAGTCAAGCATGTTGCCCAGAGAGGCTGTGCGGTGTCCGTCCTTGGGGGTGTTCAAGACCTGACAAGATAAAGCCCCAAGCGACCCACGCTGCTCTCACAGCTGGCCCTGCTTCCAGCAGGAGGTTGGAGTAGAGACTCGAAGGTCCCTTCCAACCTCAGTTATCCTTTGATCCTACAAAACCCTGTTCAACCCACTTGACGTGAAGACTTAGCAAGCATGGTAGCTGACGGCATCCTTATCATAAATGCTCTATTAAATAGTCTATTCCTGATCCTCATTTATCGAGAAGCATGGATCTTATTTTCATGGAATACCCTTTTGCTTTGGGGATTTGCCAGTCAGGGATATGTAGATAAGGCAGAATTAGCGTCATGATGTGCCAGTGTGGGAAAGGATTTACTGCTCAACAGATAAAAATTAAATAATCGCTTGGTGCAGAACACTTCATGCCCCGGAGCTGTCATGGTCTCCTTTGCAACCATCTCCTGGTGTAGGAAACAGTGGGTGTAAGGCACAGAAAAAGGGGACAGGAGGAGAGAGGAGAGGGCCTAAAAGCTGAACTTCCCCTGAACATCTGGTCTGGGAACAGCCTTTGCCTGCCAGTGGGGGGGTTGCCAGCTTTGAGTTGTCTCTCTCTGGAATAAAAATGACAAAACAACTTCTGTAGGACAGAAGTGTTTGAATCAGCCCCACAACCAGCTGCTGACTTGAACATCTCCAACCTAAAACTGCTGCAGGGGTCCTGCTAGCTGGTACAGCTGACAACACTGGAAAGCTGTCTCAGAACCCACCATGCAGGGATGTCAGAGGGAGACAAGGACCCCCCAGGCAGAACATCCCCAAGGGAGACATCCGTTGCCTCCAGCAAACCATGCCCCGGGAGTAGCCAATGCATTTCCATCATGAGCCCATCTCCGGGGCAAAGGAAGCACAAGGTGTCCTTGGCTGGTTTGGTCCTCGACCTCCACACTGAGACAAGGGATTTGTGAGGGGGCACCAGCTATAGATAGAGGACACCGGCAGTGAGAAAATGACAGTCAACACAACCCTGGGGCGGAAAGCACCATGTCCCATTGACAGTCCTGGCCTCATGAGCCACCTAATGCTCTCCAAACTTCCCTGTTCCTTATCTGCCGCTCTCCTGCTCATGCTGCTTCTCTGATGTCTATTCCTGGCCCTCTTAATCCTTCCTGCCCAGGGAGCAAATGGCCTTTGCAGCCTTCCTTGCTCAGCAGGCTATTTAATCAAAAGGTTTGTTTTGCTGAGCAGAGCAAAACAAGCCATGCTTTTACAATATTTTACTAGACGCTGTGGCAAATCCCGCACATATTTGACCTAGTGTCTGTAGCATTTATCTAATCAAAGGGATCACCATGGCCCGGCCAGGATTGGGAAGGCGGACCCTGGGGTGAGGCCACGGAGGGGGCTATGCTCTACCTTAGCATCCCCACCCCAGTGTGCACATTGTTAAAACAATTTTTGGCTCAGGACTGGTCCTGCTGAAGAGCCACCAGCATGTGAGTGTGGACAGCTCTGGCCTCTCTCTCTTGGGAGCACAGCCTCGATGACTGTTTCCTCTGCAGCAAAGGATCCTTTATCACCCATCCCAAGTAAGAAAGCAGGGGCTCTCCCCTGTCCTCAGCTTTGCTCCCGAAGACCTGTAGCCTTAGGGTAGAAGAGCTGGTTGGAAGTGCTACACAGGTCATAGTTTCGGGGGACAAGGGCTGGTTGAACAATCCCTTGTGGTCCTATAATGTGAATAGCAAGTCGTTGCTAGCATCACTGCCCAAAGGCACGTGCTGTTGTGGAGCCAGAGACCTTAGCGTCATGTTGTGGCAGCAACGTCACCGTGGCCAAGGTGGCTTAGGGTGCCACTAGGGCTAGGGCTGTATTGGGGTGCCTGGGAAGCACAAATACAAGCCAGCTGGAGCCCAAATCAGCAGCGTGTGGACTCAGTCACCCGCTGCTGGTTGCAAAATCACAGGGATGTTTTCAATGCAGAGCGAGCTGATACCAAACCATTAATTGCTGGTTCTCCTGCGCCATCCAGCCGATGCCGTTCAGCAATCAATTAAATTCCCACTCATTGATCTTGCAATTACATTGAAATATCTTGGTCCTCTCTAAAGCGGAGGAGTGATGTGCCCAGCGTCAGCTGGGGAAGAGAGCACCCAGGTTAGCAAGGAGGAAAGCACAGGCAGCTGCCCAGTACCAGCAGGGTCGGACCCAAGGTCTGGGCGAGGTGGCAGAGCCGGCGGCAGAGAGCTGGCAGCAGCTGCACCTGCAGAAGGAAAAATCCCACTGCAGAGTAAAGCTCTGCTACGTTGTAAAACGCTTAATGAAACTTTCAGGATGTGTCAGTCAAAACCCAAGGCCAGGGGGTGTGTGGCACAGGGTGGCTCCAGCGGTGGGACAGGAGCAGCCCTGGGAATGCCCAGGACACCTGTGCCACCCCCTGGCCCTGCTTGCCAGGGTGAGATCTGTTTATAGGGCACCCAGCCCCTGTACAACTCTCTTTATAGGGAAGTAAAAGAGTCGTACGTCGTTGCTTTGCATAGCAACGTGTAAATTGCCAGGCAGGCGCTGACCTTCTCTGATGGTGAGGGAGAAAAAGGAAAAGGTGTGGGAGGGATGGAGGGAGTGAGAGAAGGGAAAATCAGGAGGAGAAGGCAACTAACAGTGGAGAGGGGAAGGCAATTGCGTAAGTGAAGAGCAACCTTGTTCTCCTGGCATTTTTTTCCACGTTTTCCACCCCAGCTACAATTAAGACCAACACCAGCAGCCGCGCGTCAAGGTCAATAGCCCAGGAAGGTGTTCCCTCATCAGTGAGCGCCTGCTCCCATGGTCCTGCCTCTGCCTGGGAGCTGGGATCGGCAAAGCGCCTCGAGATTCAATAATAAACAGTCAACAAGAATCACTGCTGCTCCACCAAAAAAAAAACCAGCTTAGCAGTGTTCGGCAGTGGGTGAGATGATTAAAGATTAACCCCCTGCCTTCTGCCTCCACCCCTCTGGGGACTATAGGCCTTGAGGCTCAGCAAATCCTTTCAGAGAAATATTTGAAATAAAAGACAACAGATAGGGGACGCAGCGAAGGCAGAGAGAGGCAGAAGGGCCAATAGCCTCGGACAAGGGAATCGGTACAATCTGGCCCGTGTTTGCTGATGATAATGCGCCTTTCCAAAGCCCTAATAGACATGGAGATGGCAGATTATAGCGCAGCGCTAGACCCGGCGTATACCACTCTGGAGTTTGAGAACATGCAGGTGCTGGCTATGGGCAACGGTAAGTCCCCTCCGTCTTCTCCCCTCCATTGTGGTAGGATGAGCCGGGGGCTGCAGGAGGAGAAGTCCCTGGGGCGGCTGCCAAAATGCTCCCGGGGAGGGCTGGGGCACAGCAGGGGTGTCAGCCGGGGGAGTCCCAGAAGCTCACTGTGGGGGTTTCTGCTTCCCCTGGGGAGAAATAGAGGTGGAGGAGAAATGTTGTGCTCAATGCAGGTGGGATGGTGCCCTGCAGCCCAGACACCTCGGGGACGGGCACACGCCAGGAGCTGAGTGCCATCAGGGGTCCCCACCAGACACTCAGCCCAGGGACTGGGGCTGGGGCTGAGCACAGGGGGGTCTCACCTCCCCCAGACCCCAACCAAGAGAAAAGACTATCCAAAAGTTTCTGAGTGAAACGCTGCTGACAGCTCACCAGACATGACTGAGCCCGTAGCTCCAGAGCAGAGAGCCAGTCCCATCCCAGCAGCAGCTGGAGCGAGGTTTTCCCAGAGCAGAAAGCCATTTAGCGCCTGGCAAGGGTAGAAATCACTACGAATAGCGATTCAAGTGCTGCCCCTGCAGCTGCCCCGAGGCCGAGGCCCTTCCCTGTGCAGCGCTGGGGTGCAGGATGGGATCCCCTTCCCTGGCAGTGCTGCGGGGCCAGGAGGCTCAGTGCCCAGGAAGAGGGGGCGAGGGGACCAGGCAGGGACAGACAAGCATTCCTGTCCCCTCAGGAGGGTAGGATCACACTTAACACACCAGCATTTGCAATGCTGGCCCACCCATTTGGGACCAAGGAGTCCTGGTGATTAAATGCTCAAAGATAACAGGAGATTCCTCTCCAAGTCCCCCTAAAGTCTCTCTAAATATGAGCTTAATGACTAAACGAAGCACGCTGCAGAAATGACCCCCCAAGCCCTTTCCTCCTGCCTGCTGCATCACCAAAGCTGCCAGGGCACCCCTGTCCTGGGAGGGCTGTCCCGGCAGCCTGGGCTCTCCCCTCAAAACCCCTGTGGGTCTTCCCTGGGTTACAGACCTGCTCTGTCATGGGCAGAGCGGCTCTGCTGTGCAATAACCCCTGCCAGACAGGGTCTCAGCCCCTTCTCCGCTCCCCAGGCTGGCCCTACCCAGTCAGAAGTCTTGGGGCTGACAGCAGCCCTCTTCAGCTCTGCCGGTGCCCATCTGGACCCTCCGGGACAAGCCCAGGTCTTGCTCCCTCTCCATGACACTCTCCCACCCCACACACAGAGGCTCCTGCACAGGGGGCTGCAACTTGTTCCCCCCGGGACCAGGGACTTCATGGGGCAGAGGGACACAATAATTATGTATGTCGAGATCAGTCATGATATGAAATACACCCTAGAGGTGGAGGAGTCAGGTGGGTCAGGTGGCACCAACACTTCTCCTGATCCTCTGCCCAGCTCCAGACAGGGGCAGGTCTCACCTCCAGGACTGTTGTGTCACTGCCCACACCTCTGCCTGCAAAACCTCTGCCTCCTTAACCTCTGCCTCCTTTCCTGGCCGAGGACTGCAGGAGAGCTCAGCCCCTGCCCTGCACAGCTCCGCAGCTCCAGCCCAGAGGTGCCTGCTCAGCAGTGACCAAGTTTGCTGGTGTCACAGACTAAATGCATCCCATGTTGAGACAGGCTTGGGGACCTCTTGAGGGGGTTCTGTCCTCCTAACACAAGTCTCTACTGCAAGATCTCACCTTTTAAGTAAGATTTCTTCTTTCATCTGTTTACCTTAACTCCAAGTCAGTCCCATTAAACCCACTTCACTGTGGCAGCCAGAAGCCCACTACAAAATAAACTTAACTGGAAAATTATCCATTAGGCAATAATTTCATTGTCGGTTGGCTATTAGACTAGATGTTGTAATTTCTTTGATAGTGGTGCCAGTTCTTCCTGTTCTATGTTCATCTGATTACAGCACAATACACTGCTACAAAGGGATTTATCTGAGCTGTCACAGATACACAAGTAACGTGATTATAGGCAGATCAGCTCTTCCTTCCTCTCCGGTGCAAGTCCCATGTTTAGCTGAAACTGGAAATCTAACTTTCCTTCTGGAACGACCTTCATATAGCTGAGCCCTCGGGATGTGTTTTTAGAGGCAAGCTGCTTGCAGGGACGGGAGACAGCCAGAGCTGGCTCAGGAGAGCTCAGGGCCTCGGGAGCAGAGAGGCACTTTGCACGGGCAGTGCTGAAGGCAGAGGAGTGCAGCTACATGGCAGGGTGTGCCAGGCAAGGACACAGAGAGGCAGCAAACAGACTTGGGAAAGAAATATAGGAGGGACACAAGGAATTAGAAAGAGAGAAAACAGGCAAGGAAATGAAAGCTTCTGCCAGAGCCAGGGAAGGGGCTGGCTCAAGATTTCCCCATGCCAGCTCACTGCCAGGGATCACAGGATTCACTCCAGGTTACTCATGCCAAGGGATGGCTTGAGGAGGCTGTGCAGTGCCTGCTGCAATATCCCTTTATCTGTAAAATAAAGGTTAAAATTGTAGCCCTGCCCCAGGCAGCATTGCCCTGGCCTCCCCCAGCACTCATGCTCTAGCTACCAAAGGCAGCCCTGCTAGGACCAACCTTTTTATAGCACTCAGCCCCCTTTCTGCTGGGTGCCAAATGGGAGCAGCTGTAACCCTCAATTGTGTCCCTACCAAACCCAGAGACCAGGGACCAATAGACTTAGGTATTAAAATCCCAGGAGGTTTCTATAGCTTTGTAGATCCTGGGTATCATTTGTGACCGGGATTTCCACTGAGGCAGGGGAATGTGCCCGTGCTGATACAGGAAAATGTGCATGGGAGGGGACAATTAGATCAACTGAATTAAGGGCTGATCCCTTCAACCTTGAGGTTTGTTTGGTTTGCTGGAGGGGTTTTAGTGTAGATCTTGTATTGTTTTGAGCCTTTCAGATGTCCTTTCCTACAGAGGCTGCAGCAATTCCCCATCTTCCCAAAAAAGCCCTGCAAATGCCAGCCCCCCTTGGTCTGTAAGGACTGTAAAACACATTGTTCTCAGCCATGGTGCTACCAGATTCTGGAAGATACCCAACAGACAGCCTCCTCCATGCTATAGCATCAACCTTTTTTTCTCAGTTGGCTTGATCCATCCTTCCTTGCATGGGTAGTGTTTGCCCACATGAGCTTTCCAGCTGAAGTCATTTGAGTTTGTTGCGCACTTAAAGTCTTGTTCTCCTGAAGAACAGCTATGCTGGCTCGAGGTCCACGCCTGGCAGAGACTCTCTCCAGCAAAGAGAGCTGGCCACTTCATTTTTCTAATAGCATCTGCTCAGGACTATCTTGGGCTCTTTCAGGGCTATAACACAAACACCTCTCTAATAAATCAGCTGCTCACCCTGAGCCGTAATACCTCAGCTTTAACTCTGCACCAGCTTTTTCTCTGGCCATGCTACTGCAGCTACTGCAGCCCAAAGTGTCTGCAAATCCCTGAGGAATTTTGGCTCTGCTCTGACTCCTGCAAATGGGTTTCTGCTTTGTCTGAGGGCACCTCTGGAGTCAGGCCTTTGGGAAGAGCTGTCTCACCCTGGCACACGGGGAGCTTTTGCACACTCAAAATGCAATGATTTAAGACACTCGAAGCACCCACCACTCATTACACACCTCCCTGGCCAGCCCCTGCTGTACAGCCTGGCTGCAGCTGCCTGGTTCCTCCAAATATCAAGCCTCTCACTGAAAACTGAGTTAGGAAATGTTGGCTGTTTGTCTCACCATCTTCTTCTTCCTGTGTCCTTCCCCAAGCAGACACGTCTCCATCAGAAGCATCCAACCTCAACACTTCCAACAGCATCGGGGTTAGCGCACTGTGTGCCATCTGCGGGGACCGCGCCACGGGGAAGCATTATGGGGCTTCCAGCTGTGATGGCTGCAAAGGCTTCTTCAGGAGGAGCGTCCGGAAGAACCACATGTACTCCTGCAGGTAAGGGCAGAGGGGACAGTCCCCAGGAGCTGAACAGCAAAGCCCTCAGAGCACAGAAGCACGGTCCTTCAGCTTCTTCATCCTCCCTGCATCTTCCATCACCCTCCCTGACCTCACCCCCCAGCTGGGAAGGGCCAGCCCTCACTCTAGGATTGCCCTTCAGTGATCACTGGGGAAAGACCCTGGGAGGTCTCACCCTGTTCTTTAGGGGCCAAGCACACGTTCTTGCAAATGGATGTGGCCAACAGTGGATGTGACCAGCAAGCAAGGTGGTGCCAGGGGGGTAAACCTTATTAGAGGGGCTGAGCACTTGCTACTCTGTGCCCTGAGCGCAGCACAAACCCTGCTCACTCCCTGGGGGCACTTCAATGGCCTCCTGTCCCTTCTCTGTCACAAGTTGGAAGTGTGTCTGCCATCTACATAAAATGCTGTCACTACCTGTTACATGATAAAAGAACATCTAAGGACACAAGCTGGGCAGAGTAGCATGCATGTCTCTGCAGATGAGACATGCATGTTGCTCCTGCAACTCAACTCATGCGCTGCACCTTGTGTCAGTGGTGGTAGCCCACGTCTCTCTCGTGCCATCAGTGGCTGTGATGTGCCTGCTCCCTGCTCTGAGCAACTGAGACACAGAGAGTCACAGAGGAAACCAAGGATTCCTCAGCTCAGACTGTCTAAATCACTTGGACTTTTTGAGTGAGTTACTCCTGATGTCCTGATAGCCACTTGGAGAGTGTGAATAGCAACATGACTCTAAAATCTGAGAGACAGAAAGAAGCCCCAGGTTTATGACTGCACATAAAGCACATTATTACTTGCACCCCAGGGTCATTGAGGCTGGCTGCCCAGGGAGACCCCTCCCCACAGCTCCAGTGGGAAAAGCCAAGGTCCCCAGTTCTTTGGAGACTAGTACTTTTATGTCAGTGCTACCTAAATGCTTAAAAAGCTGCTTTCAGGCATCCATTTTGGGAAATCTTAGCTTGGGGCTTTAAAAAGTATGGTAGAAACAAGCCTTTTCAAGAGCTACAGAACTGGGCATGGCTGGGAGACCTTTCCCAGCTCTGTACGCCTTTGTCTTTAGTTTGCAAGTTTGATCAATCAGCAGTAAATTAGAGCAAATTTGCAAGTGAAATTCATGCTGCAAATGGCTACCAGGTTTATGCTTGCATGCAAGAGCCACACACACGAGAGGTCAGTGTTTGCCCCACCATGTGCAATGGATTTGGTGATACAAACATGGAGGGAAGGAGCTGGTTGCTTCCCACGTTCTCTTTGAAGCACAGGTGGCTGCAGAGCTGTCTGCACACCAGTGATGCTGTCCAGAGATCAGAAGCAACCTGCCTGGATCCCAGACACAGCCCTGGAGAGATGCAGGGACTTAAACCCACTTCTTAACCTTACTCGCACCAGAACAATCTTCTACCTTTTTTTTTTAATTCAGAATAAATGCATTCTTCCTTCTAACTGGGATCTAACTTACAACAGAGGCTACCAAGGTGTCTCTGACCCTCCTCACTCACTCTTTTAACTTCACTGAGGCTTGTTAGGCCACCGTGAGCATCCTATGCCTAGTGTTTAGTGAGTAAGACCAGCAGCCTGAGTTCCTGCATGCAACTGTCAGCTCTAGCCCACCTTTATTGAACATCCAGAGGTAGAGCAGGGGGCTGAGATGTTCAATGCAAAGAGGAAACCTCAGGTTAAACAAACGTGGAAATGGGACAAACTGGGGTTTGTTTCTCAGGCTGAGCCTCTGGGAACCTGCTCTGAGCATATCTTGGAGCTTGGAGCTCTGTCTTGTCTAGCCTTCAGGCTCAGTCTTGCTGCTCCTCACACCTCTCTCTCTTCCCAGGTTTAACAGGCAGTGTGTGGTAGACAAAGACAAAAGAAACCAGTGCCGATACTGCAGGCTTAAGAAGTGCTTCCGAGCAGGGATGAAGAAGGAAGGTGGGTGCCGGCGTGGTTCCCCGTGCTCCCCACAGCAACAGTCACGCTGGCTGCGTGTGTTTGAGGAAGCTGTCGCAGCCCAAGGCCAGTCCCTGCTGTGCACACGCTCGCCCAGCCAGCTTAGCCCTGCCTTCCCTCCACAGTGCTCTCCTGTGCACAGATCCAGACCCCCATCACAGGAGGGGTTAGGGAGAGTTTTGGCATGACCCCTGCATGTACCCAACCTGCCGACTCCCACCCATGCGAAGTCATTGCAAGCAGCCATGGTCCCAACAGTTGAGGGCAAAGCATGGGGGCCCTGCGTGCTCCCAAATTCAATTTCAGGGCCCTTTCTCAGGGCACCTCTCAAAATGCCAGCAAAGACAAGCCCATAAAAGTGCTGCATGGCCATGCTTGTGTCCCAGAACTGCCTGTGCTTGTACACACAAATCACACCTGGGGCTTTTCAGCTCACTCTTACTCACACTGACGCACACATCACTGTGCTCCCACATAGCTGGGGCATCTGAGTGATTTGGGAACACTCCTCAACATCAGTGAGAAGCAGAAACTTCAAAGAAGGCAGGCACAATTTGGAAACACTTTGGGAAAATCGCTGTAAGTGCTGTTGTCCTAGAGTCACCATGAAATCCACAGCTGGTCAGGTGAGTCCAGCAAAGGACACAACTGTCATTTTGCCTCTTTTTTTCCTAATGTGCATACAGATTCTTGCTGATCCTCTGCAGAGAGCTTAGTTTTATCTGATACATCAGCCATAGCAAAAAGGTCCCAGAGCAAGGTGGAGCATTTTGACTATTTAACTCCATATGAAACGAGTAAAGATATCCACCCCCCTGCATGGCCCAAGCTCACCCCAACAACTTCCCTGCGTCTGTCTCTGCAGCCCTTCCAGGTTCCCATGACTCAGACACGACAGAACAGGTTTCCTCCTTGTTTAGCCCTCGGTTCTCAGAAGCACTCACAGTGGCAAGGAAACCTGGGGCTGCTGTGGTCTTGCTGGTGGCCCCACTGGTAGCCACACAGGTGGACCTGTTGGTGGAGGGACAGACTGCCAGGAGCAGCCCAGAGGAGCTGCCTGGCACCTTGCAGAGCTCACCCTATTGATGTCTGCAAAGGGACAACCAGGAGGCATCTGGCCCTCTTGTTTCATGCAGAGAAATTAAATCCTGTGCTCCCCTCATTTCACACCCCCTCAAGGAGAAGCTTAGGAGAAAAGGGGTCCTTGAAGACAACAGGGAAGTACCAGCAGCACCTGGGCAGCTTCCCCAGGAACACCAGCCTGTGGGAACACCCTTGAGCAGGAACATTTCTTCCCTGTTAAAGGGGATGAGGTATTGCAAGGAACTTGGCTTGACTTTTCCTGAAGAACATAGGAATCCTCCTCTCCCTGCAGCGCCTGCTCATCCCATGCCCAGAGCTTTGCCGCTGTCTGTTAATATTCAATAGAAGTTACATTAGGTGCATGACCAGCTAATACTGAGCAAACATTTGGAAAACATCATGGCGTGACTGAACTCGGGGGCCTGCTACTGATAACAAGCGGCATAACCTTGAGAGCTCCTATTTACAGCCGCTGACTGCAGGGCTTTTCTTCTGGCCCAGCCTCATTATTGCTTTTTATCAGGTGGATTTATACATTGAGAAAGTATCAATCTAGAGAGCCACCAGCCTAAGGCAGGGACTGTTCTGTTTCCCCTGCCATCGATCAATACGTTATTTGAGCAGATGGCTTTGACTGGTGTGGCCGTGGTGAGTTACACATCCCACAGCCTCGTGGCAGACAGAGGGGCAAATCCTCCCCCTCGGCACTACTGCTTCTGCTCTGGCTGCTGCCACCTCTAGGCTCAGAGCCCCAGTCCTCCTCAAGACTAGACCAAGCAGGGAGGCACATTGGGGTCAAACCTGTCCTGGGACTCTCTTTACAATAAGGTATGAGAGAGCTCTGTTGCTCTGGATAGATAAGTAGGACCTGTTCTGCACTTCCTTCCTTATTGTAGCTTAGACGGAAGTTTTCCAACTGCTCCTACCCAGTGCAAGAGCTTCCCAAACGGAGCTCACAGAAGTCATGTGGGCAGACAAAGAAGCCAAGATACTCGACGCCTCCATTTCATACATAAGCTTTGGGCTGCATGCATGAGCATGGTCACCATTTCAGACCCTGTATCCTGAAATCAAAAAACTTAGAGCCACATCCTTTGAAAGGAAACTTTCTCTTTGAACTCTACAGGATTTGGACCAGGTGTTTCGGTTCTGAAACAACCCCATCCCAGAAAAGCCTAATAAAGCAAATGTGAAAACAGAACCACCAGATGTAGTCAGCTCTCACAGGCATCCCGTCACAAACCAGACACAGCTGCAGCTCTGCCCTGCCAGGCAGGGAAGCTGGGAAACTGCAGCTAAGGAAGGGGAATGCCAGAAGTCTGTGCTATTTTTTCGTGTGCATTGCCATGAATGACCTACAGCTCAGCCAAAATACTCTCTTGCAGCTGTACAAAATGAACGGGACCGAATCAGCACACGGAGATCAAGTTATGAAGATAGTAGCTTGCCCTCCATCAATGTCTTACTGCAGGCAGAAGTCCTGGCACAACAGGTACCTCTTCTTTCTTCTTTGGCAAATACAAAAGCATCAGGTACTATCTGGCCAGTAGGGACAACTGAGTGTTTAATATCTGAGTCTTCAAATTACCACCTCTTTTGTAAGTAACTTATCTGCCAGCTCAACACTGTTTTTTCAAAGGCATTTTTTACCTGAAACCATCCCTTTAATGGTCCTTGGTCCAGAACTCAGTTGTAATAATATGCAATAATCTGTTCTGCTTTGATGGGACACATGAAGGCTGGAGAGCCTGCTGGAAGAAAACAGGGTAGAATCACTGAAATTCAAGGAGCCGGGGCCGCCCAAGCCAGCTGAGGGGGTGGCTTCACACAATCTCCCCTCCCCATCAGCTGTTAGGAACTTCAGATTCTGGCTTCCTGCACAGTTTCACGAGGAATGAGTTTCATGCTTGTTTTATGCAGATATTCTTTCCAGTGTTTGCTTGAAATTCCCATTTCCACAAGCATACTGCCACGACTTACTTCCTAGAGTGTTCATCTGAAAAAATTACTCTGATTTAAGAATTTGGATATTGCAAACAGTGTACATCAGGTCAGCACTGTCTGGGAAGACACGGGACAGGATGGGAACACACAGGCTACAGGAAGGGTTTGTCTGTGAGAACAAGCGATGAGGATGGGGCTGTGCTGGAGGCAAGAGCTGCCACCCTTTGTGGCAGCTGGAGAGAGCAGCACTCCTTGTCCCGGGGAAAGTGAAGAGGGGTTTGAGTTGGCAGTCCATGTTCCTCCTTGCTTCAAAGGTCATATTACCCTGAAGGCTGCCCTGGGAGATGCTCCAGGACAGGACATGTGCTCTGGGCTCCACACGAGGGCTCAGGCTGTAAGGTCCGCTTCTCCAAGGAGGGGATATGCCACAAGGGCCAAGGGCCAATCCTGTACACAAGAAGCATATCCAGTCTCACCCCATGTCTCAACTTGTCCTACGCAGGCCCTAATATATTTATATGTCCCATAAAAATATTGGTGCTGCTCCCAGAGGTGTGAGATCATGGGGTCTCAAGTCACCAGATCTACAAGGGAAGGACATTTGCAGCACTGCAGTGGCATCATACCTGTGGCATCTCCAAGTCTGGAGCAGGGTCTGCTGATAAAAACTACAACCATCGACAAATCCAAGGGAGCTTCTACTCTCCCACAGAGCACAGAGAGACTCATTAAACAAGGCAGGCTCCAGCATGGTAATTGGTAACTTTTATGTGCCTGGCTAATTAGCACAAGATACTGCTGAGGAGCTGCTTTCTCCAAGATCTCAGGTCACCCACTCAGAGGTCTTTATTTATTTGCTAAGCCTTCCGGGCTCTCTGATTAGGGTAATACATGGTGAGATTTTTACAATCTTATTTATTCAATAACAGCTCGAGCACTGGAAAGCTTCCAGGTAATGAAACCTGGGGGAAAAAAAAAAAATGCAGGTGGCATTTGAAATCCATTTCCTTGGGGAGGCTGGCAGAGTCCAAGCTGAAAATGCTGGCAGGAACAGGACAGGAAGAGCTGATGTTGTACAAGAGCACAGAGGGCAGGCGGAGGGCAGCAATGGGGTTGAGTTAATTGCTTACAGAAGCATGAGGATAAAGTAGTGACTAAGGGCAAATTTTTAGATGAGCTGGGTGAGCAGCTATGCATGAGAACCGGGCAGGAGGTTGGGTGCCTGGTTTGGGGGAGATATTCTTTCCAGCTCTGTGTGATGGTACTTCTAGAGTTGTCAGGCTTGTCTTTTGCAAATGAAATGGCCCCATTTGCCTCTGCAATCACAAATAATTCACCATGCAAAAATGCGACCTGTGTTGCGGGCATGTTTGCACATGCGCAGTTTTGCCAAAAAGGGCCTAAAAGCTGGGGGGAGGTGGGAGGTTGTTGTCTTTAAAGTCTGTCTTTAGCATTTCAGATTGGGTAATGTAACAAACATTAATGACCTGGTGCTCACAGAAAGCAATGTCAGACCTAGAAGGCTACCTTCAGCAGAGACTTCTTGTGCTCATGGTGACAGAGCGGAGCAATAGAGCCTGCGTGTCAAAAGCAGCCAAGGCAGGTCTGGCTCTGAAGCAGCGTGGAAGGGGGAGCAGTTCTCTGCCCTTTGGTGGGACCAAATAGCTTGTGCAGCAGCACTGGGTGGACATGTCCTTGCTACTGGTGACGCTGACTGCTACATGAGCCCCTCTGTTCCCTCCTGGATCTTGACTGAGCACATCTGTTCAGTGGGAGGAAGACCTTGGCTTTAGAAACATTTCTTCTGTGCTTTCTAGTCTATTCAGGGCATGACAGTTTACTGAGATGATCCATAGCCTCAGCTCTGAAGTATTTCATGTTCACAGATCCACAGGTTGATCTCGATTTAAATGAGTTTTAAATGAGCTGGGCCACGTATTCTGAGGGCTGGATGTGCAACGGAAAAAAGTAATCATTGATGCTGGAGTCTGCATCAACACAACCCATGGGCTGGGGATTTTCCTGTCTAGGTTTCCTCTGTGGCACTGAAAGCTGAAGGATCTCTTCTCTCCTTCCAGATATCATCGCCAGTTCCTGTGATCAACGGAGACATTCGAGGGAAGAAGATTGCCAACATCTCTGATGTGTGCGAGTCCATGAAGCAGCAGCTACTAGTGCTGGTGGAGTGGGCCAAATATATCCCTGCCTTCTGTGAGCTGCCCTTGGACGACCAGGCAAGTCCCCCATCCACCCCACCTTGCTCTGCCCTGCCAAAGGCAGTGGGGAGCTGAAGGAGAGGCAGCCAGCTGAGACCTTCAAAGAAAATGTGCATTGTCCACTCTGTTATCCTGACTGCTGCAGCTGATTGGGAATGGCATCCATACAATGCCCGCACAGGCCATTTGCATGTGCAGCTAATCAGTCGATGAGCGCAGTCGTGATAACACTGAGCTCAAATTAGGTACGTAATCAGGAGCACATTTTGCACAGGTCTATCAGTCAATTATTAATATATTGTGCAGCACTTTGAAAACCTGAAGTGCTATACAAATACTTAGGGTAATTAGACTTAGTAGGACAGAATTCTAGCCTAATGTCTGCTCAAGTCTTAAAACCAAATCTACCCGACTTTCTTTCTGCTTCTTGCCTGGGGATATGTTGGTATCCATTCTCGTGGTGTGGAATTATTGAAACTAAACACTAGTTTGCTCCCAAGACAGTAAGAAAACCTCTCTTCAGAGTTAAAAAACAGAAATATATTTGCATTTAATGCAAATTACTAAAATGACATTTGCTGATTCCGTAACAAAATAAGCACAGTGGGTTTGAAATCCTCTGTAAAACTATGCTGCAGGATCTCAGGCAGCCTCAAAGAGATACACAGAGATGCCTCTTGTGTAAGTCTAAATTTCAGAGGTCTGCAGCAAGTGTTGCGGGACATGATGTCGGCCCAGCCTTCAACAGCATGTGTGGATGGTGGGGAGGCTCCAGAAAGAAGGGATAGCACTTCTGGCAGTGCCCAGCACAGGTCCTGTCACAGCTAGGAAGGTATTTCCAATCTTCCCAGTGTTCGGTCACAAAACCAGCATGGGTCCTCTTCAGCTAGGATCAGTCTCCATCCATGTTGATCTAGAGGTAATTTTTACATTATGAAGATGATTTGATCCAGCTGATCAAAACCCCCTGAATCCTAAAACTGAGATCTTCAGTAATAACCCAGCAGCACAAAGACCTGGGGAATTCAGTGCTGTGAACACAGAGCATATTTCCCTCTTTACTATTGTGTGCAAGTGCTAAATTGTTTAAAATGGTAAGAAACCTGTTAAACTCCTAAGATAATTAAAATTCAAAAATTATGAAAAACAAAATGGACTTCAATGAAAAATGAGATTTAGACAGCAAACGGGCTGCAGTCCAGCGGAGGCTTGGGCAGCTCTGCATAACCCATTGCACCCATGTGCCATTTGGAACAGAGGCAGTAAACCTGGTTAATAACTCTGCAAACTACAGTAATTTCCACAAGAGCTCATTTTACAATTGTGAGGCTGCAAAATTTCTCAAAGAAGAAAACAAAGCCTAGAGATGACATTGTCTGAACCCTGCCTTCCCACAGAGGAGAGGCTGCTCTCGGCATGTCCCACAGGCTTGACAACTCAGATAGGTCTTCTGTTATGACCAGCCATCCCCCATCATGAGCAGTTCCCAATCTATCCCGAAGGGCTTGAGAGGAAAGACTGTGCTGCATTAAAATTAATCAATTAATGCCATCCATGCTTTTGAAGGATGGTGTAAGAACAGAGGCAGCAGATAGTCAGGGGAGTGCAGGAGGATGGAGAGAAATGCCAGGGAGCAGAAAGAAACAAATCTATGTGAAAGCCAGCTGCCAAAGGGGCATGGAAGCCAGTCAACACATGTCCAGTGGGAATGTTTAATGTTGGGAAACGCTGTTACAATGTCATTAGAACATTGCCTGAGAATGAATCATCTCGACCAACTTTTTTATAGGAACAGTCATACCCAACCCCTCATTCTTCCTCTGCACCAAAATGTTAAAGTCCTGGGTTTGGTGGGACAAAGCCGTTTCATTTCAAAGTTAAAGTTCTGCTTTGTTGTGTTACAACTTTTATATTTATCCTAGTTCACAATGGGATGATCTATCTCAGGTTGATCACTGCAAGAACAAATATCAAATGAGATGGTCTTGCCTAGTTGAAGTAATTTACTTTAACCCCGCTCAAACAAGCAAATTTTATAGAAACAAAAATGGTGGTTTCAAACTGAGCTTTCTTGAATTTGCATTAGGCAGGAAATTTCTGTGATGTGAGGGCTTTGTTTCCCTTGGAACTCACAGTTTTTCCATCCTTCTCAAAGTTTCGTCAGATAGGAAAGCTCAGGTTTTTTGCAGCTCTGGTAATTACAAGCAGCTTGGTTAACACATACGCCCATGTTTGGATAGTGATAGAGAGAAGCTAGATTTTGGCATACAGATAAAGGTTCCCCAGCATCATGTGTGCATAGTCTTTTTGCAAGGACCTCCATTCTGTTTATTTTGCATAACTCTTTTTTCACCCTCTGAAATAAAAAAAAAATCTCTCAGATATCAGCATCTTTTTTAACCAGAGCTCTCTTCTTCGGGTAACACATTGTCCTGGCATTTCTGGTAGGCTAAGACTTCTCTTGGCTTTGTCAGATGCTGAGGGATAACACACTGGAAAAGTGGACCATTCCTATCAGACACACTTTTCAGGATCTCTCCATTAATGTTTAACGATTGTTTTCTCCAGGAGAGGCTTCTGGCTGGACATTAAGAAGCTTCTGTCAGGCTGTCCAATCGTTAACTTCTGTTTCTGCCTAAATCTCTGAAATTCTTAACTGAAGGAGGGCAAAAGATTCAGAACATTCTCAGGAGCCACTGAAGGGTGTAAAATGAAACACTTCAATCATTAATGTCAGGGCAGAAAAACATCCCTTTGGCTTCCCTGGCCCAAATGCCCATTGCTGTGGAGGGAACAAATGACCAGAGGGTGACCCCACCAGCTGTGTGGATGTGGGTCCCCTTGAGCGTGCTTTCAGTGGGAGGCAGGCATGGCCCAGAGGGACAGCAACTGTCCACAGCAGTGGATCGTACTTCTCCTCACTTCCCACGCTGGAGCATGGTCTCTGGTTCTGCCCTTGATAGGAGCTGCCTGCTGGCCTGAGGTCCTGGGACAGGTGGTCATGCTTATGACATGTGCCATGAATATGGGATGTTTCAGGTTCTGTCTATTATCTACTGGTTCTGCTGGATTTATAGCTGTTCACGCACAGGAGTAAAACATTTTTTGACCTCTTTTTTGATTGTGACTGGAGATGGGCTCTCACTCCCCATCCTTGAGTGCAGTACAGAAATGCTAGGCTTTCTTTCTTGCTTACGTGAAATCACAGCCTTGTCTGTCTCTGCATCACGCAAATAACTTTTCCCTGCCCTTGCAGGTAGCACTGCTGCGAGCACATGCAGGAGAACATCTGTTACTGGGAGCTGCCAAGAGGTCCATGGTGTTCAAGGATGTCTTGCTGCTAGGTAAAGAGTGCCCTTCTGCTCCTGGCCCATCTGCTTCTGCAAAGCTTCCCTGCTGGTGTGAAGGGGAGCGTGGTTCAGTGTTTGTGGGCATCCTTTTTGCAAGCCAGTGGCTTAAGCTCTTCTGTATTTTAGCGAGCATAGCACAATCTTTGGGTGCAGCTAGGTCTGGGTGACATTTACATCAAGGCCACGACATGTGGAAAAGTTGGGGGACTATGAACATTCACACTGGCCCCCCTCGGTTTGTGTAAGCAGGCTGTGGTGTGATTGACTCGCTCCTCGCTCAGCTTTTCCTTGCTTGAGTGACTCCTGAGTAAGGAGAGGCTGCTCTGGCAACACAGATCGGCATTTCCGATGGGCTGAGCCAGGGAAGGGATGGAAGGAGGAACTTCTTAAGTCCTCCACCCTCAATCTGGGTTTTGAACTCCTTGCCACCCTTGATAAGTCTTGGGCAATGACAAGGCAATGGTCTTTGTGCTGCTTGTCCAAAGGAAATGACCACATCATCCCACGGAACTGCCCCGAACTGGTGGAGGTGAACCGCGTGGCCATCCGCATCCTGGACGAGCTGGTCCTCCCCTTCCAGGAGCTGCAGATAGATGATAATGAATATGCCTGCTTGAAAGCCATCATCTTCTTCGACCCAGGTATGCTCCAGCTTAGTGAGGGTTACCATCAGAGTGCACTGGTCTGGGTTATGCTGACTAATGCAGGTCCTGAGTTGTGGAAATGCTGCCTAGTCTCCTCTCTGGCCCAAACTGTTCGCAGAGGGAGGGACAAGTCAGCCTAAATAGAGAAAACACGTCCCTTACAGCAGATGATAGACAATCATCTCACAGCTCACCTCAGCCTGCGCCCAGACTTCATGCTACTACTGAAGAGCAGTTCCTAGGGAAGCAGCCTGGGTAGCTTGTTCTGTGGGTTGTTTCAGATGCCAAAGGACTGAGTGACCCCTCCAAGATCAAGCGGATGCGGTACCAGGTGCAGGTCAGCCTGGAGGACTACATCAATGACCGGCAATACGACTCACGGGGCCGCTTCGGAGAGCTGCTGCTGCTGTTGCCTGTGCTGCAGAGCATCACCTGGCAGATGATAGAACAGATCCAGTTTGTCAAGCTCTTCGGCATGGCTAAGATTGACAACCTGCTACAGGAGATGCTGCTGGGAGGTGAGTACTTGAGGGTCCTACAAGAGGCCTCTCAGTGTTCCCTGATCACCATCCCCTTAAGAACCTCTATAGCCATTGCTCCCTACCCAAAAAAGGTGGAGACAGCCTGTATGGCAGGTTAGCCATTGACTCACACAAAATCATCTCCCCTGTCACTGGCAATGGTCCTCCATTTCTAGTCACCAAAAGAGATGCATTAGCTGTGCGTCTGTTCACAGAGAGGTGTCCCCAGCCCTCTGCATGTAGACAAGCTTTGCTGTGTGACCCCTAGACTGCTACCAGCCAGCTGTTTCACTAACCCTCCTCTGTGTCAGAAGGGAGTCATCAAAACAAAAGGGTCTGAAAGGTCAGGTTGAAAGAGGGTCGCAGATTTTCTACTGGGAGCATCCTTGGGACAGAACAAAATGAGAAGTTGCACTGTGCTATTCTTTACGTGGAGGTGTGACTCAAGAGGAGAGGAATATAATCCTGTACAAGAGGAAATGCAGGCAGCGGGCAGGGGTTAGTGAGCCCAAGCATCCATGGAGGAAAATGGGAAGGTTGTGCTCCAGTGACATATGCACAAGCTGATCATGCACAAAGCCTTGGACATTTTGGTGCAGTGGGTCTGCCCATCTGAACTGTCTCCTTCTGTCATCGTGGCAACTAATGTCATATGCACATTTTTAGGCTCATCAAGTGAAACGCCACATGCTCACCACCCCCTGCACCCTCATCTGATCCAGGAGAACCTGGGAACAAACGTCATTGTGGCCAACACAATGCCTCCTCAGATGCACAATGGGCAGATGTGTGAGTATTGCCAAAGAGATAGAGACCTCTCAGGAGAAACGAAGAGCTTTCCAGCATGCCTGTGGAGGTAGTTTCTACCTTGCAAGGAAATTTCCGTGCAAGACAGAGTCTCTGATAATGAGTGTGTGAGAAATTCCTATGCAGAAAGGAGGGAAAGAAAAACAGAGAGGTGGGTTAGATTAGATTAGGCTAGACTGACTGATTCAACAAGATGTTCCCTAGCAGACTGTAACTTTTACATAGCCCTTTAATTTAGGGATGAATGATCCCATCCAATGCCTACTGAAATCACTCAAAAGGCTCCCCTTCCCTTAAATGGTTCAGACACACCTCACTTTGCCCTCTGCAAAAACACAGGAGAATCTGATCCACCACACAAGACCACCACACGGGGCTACTACTTGGGAATTTGGGCTGAGATGACTTCAGCTGACCAGAAATTTTGGACTAGATGACCTTTAAAGGTCCCTTCCAACCCAAACTATTCTATGATTCTATTCTATGAAAAAGTGGCCAGTGCAGGTCAAAATGCCAGCTCCCCTCATTCGATGTTTGTTATTGTGGCTCTTCCAGGGCATCTAACCATGCCTGTATGTCTGGGCTGCCTTGCAGCAAACACACAAGCCATTAGGAGCTATGGTTTTGCTACAGACCCTTTGCTTTGCTTTGCTTACACCTGAACCTGGCACGACTGAGGACAGATCCTAGTGCTGACAAGTCTTCCAATTTTGTTTCTCTCTCTGTAGCTACTCCAGAAACCCCACAGCCATCTCCACCTGCGGGCTCAGGACCAGAGCAATACAAGCTGCTGCCTGGAGCCATTGCAACCGTGGCAAAACAACCCACCTCTATACCACAACCTGCCATCACGAAACAGGAAGTCATCTAGCAATCTGCAGACCAGCCGGCCTCATTTAGAAGACCATGTGGGAGAAAAGCCTGAATTGACTCTGCCACTGTGAAAAGAGAAGCCATCCAGAGGTCCTTGGGCACAAACACATGGACTTGCTTATCAGGCTAGTCTACCACCACCAAAAGCTGTCTTCCTGCAGCTATGGACAGCATGTGCCATGGGCAGCCCCCAGTCCCAGAACTAAGGTTGAAGCCTTACTGAAACCCTCAGGCCTTGTAAGAAGGGCCAGATTTCTGCCTCCCTCCATGAGGAGGTTGCAGTCACCAACGGGGGACAGTGCAGCTGGCTGTTCCCCCATTGCGACCTCTCTGCATTGGTTCAGCACACACCAGACACTGAGTGAATGTGGGCTGTGTGAATGGAGGGCTTCCCTCCTGCAGCCATGCCAGCTCCCTAGACAGTCCCCAGTCCAGCCAAGCTTGATGGAGATGGAAGCATCTCCATGCAGATGATGCGTTGCAGCAGGTGAAGCACATGGGTTTTTCCCAGGCAGCACTGGCAGAACTGCTCCTCAGCCTTGGCTAGTCCCAGGTCTTTGCATGGTGTCACCCTCCAGCAAACTAACCTCCCCAGCTGGGTCTAACAAATCTGTTCAGCTGATATGGGGGCAAAGTCTGGCCCACCAAGACTCTCCACTATTTGGATCCTTCTACCTTTTGAGGGGTGTTGCTATTTCTGTGCCAGGACTGCCCTCCCACCACAGGGCTCAGAGGGGCAACCACTGCCAAATCCTTCCTTTACACCACTACTGCCTGCTTGCTACCTGGGCTGGAAAGTTGGGGGGCCATGGGATTCCAGAGATTTCAGCTAATGGGATGGGGTCACCCCTGTGCAGGCTGGCTGTGAGCAGCACTGCCCAAAATATCACTGGCCCCGCTACTGCTTCTCAGTGGTCAGAAGAAGACCACTGGATGCCTATATGGAAGGAAGCAGTGGGGAAGGACATATGGAGAGACCTGTGAGGGCAAGAAAAGCCTGAGCCTCACAGGTTGGACCAAGGTCTGGGGCTGCCCAAGTGCTGGGAGTGTTGTTACCCATGACCTCAGTTCAGATCCAGCTTTAATGCCAAGATATGCCATATAATCTACTTGTCCAGTCGAATACCACTCCCTCAGCTTAGAGTGAGTGGCTGATAACAAATTTATAAGTCTTTATGACATGATAAGAATTCGTTACAGCTCCTTTAGACCTCAGAGAGTTGAAGGCCAGCAACCTCAAAAACACAATGCTTTGAGTCCTGCAGAGAACAACAGAGGTCAAGGAAAGACCCTGTCTTTTCCAAGCCCCTTGGGTCTCCCCTGGCCTTGGGTCTGCACCCAGCTGCTCTGCTCCCTCCCTGCCACAGTCTCTGTTTCTCTGTGCCTGCCTGTGCCAAAACCACGCAGATCTGACCTTTGGTTTACAGCTGAAACCAGGAAAGGAGCCCTCCTATGCCCAGTGCTTGCCTCTCTGGCTGCCAGCAGGGCTGGAGCTTGCAGAGCCCTGCACAACTTCAGGCCTGAGTAATTTTTGGCAGCACAAGCACAACTCTAACTAACCACAGACTAGGTGGAGTGCAGGTCTCTCAGGAAGATGAAGCTGATGGAACCACAACTGCAGAGAGGTTCCTGGCAGGGACAAATCTGAGCCAGCCCAGCCAGAGGAGCTGCAGGTCTGTCCCTTGATTTCCAATGCAAAAAATGAAACACCTCGCCTTGTGCTGATGGTGTCAGAAGTATTGTATCATCTCTCAACTCTGGTGGCATCATACTGAGTAATTTATTGCAATGATGAATCCAATCATTTTCTGTAAATTATTTTGTAAATCACATTGATTATTTATAATTGGGAGATTAAATGCAACAAACCCCGTAATAACCAGGCTGTCTTTTCCAACTGCAGCAACCTTTTATCCTGTACGTAGAGATACTCTGTGGGCAATCCTTTTTGGTCCATTTGCACCAAGCATTCCTCGATACTGTACATTAATTTTTGCTGGTTACTGCCTTCCAATGGAAACAGAGGAGTATTTCTTCACTAGAGTTTGTATTCATAAAAAAAAAAATAAATGCAAAAATATTTTCTAACTTTTCCCAGACAGATGGATTTCTTTCTTCTGGGAGGATTTATTTTAAATCAGGGGGCTCACCTCCTTGTTGGTCTGAGCACAAAGCATATGTGTATTGAGGAAAAACCACAAACAAGTGTTTGATGCTACTGCCAGTTGTCACTCTT